CTAGCTAGTATGAAATAATTCAGAGGGGGTGTCCATAAGCAGCATGTCAAGCTCTTTCATTCATGGCAACTGGGGGTATAATAAGATTAGGATCTCCCTAAAGGACGAATAGTGGAGGGAATTTTGCGCGATTAAAAAGGTATATTATTACAAGGTAATGCCGCTCAGTACGAAGGATACATGGGCTACATATCAACATGCAATGACAGTTGCCTTTCAGGATATTTTGCACATCTTCGAGCATTTCATGAATGACTTGTCATTAAATCTAAAGATTGTTTTACTCAATTTCACTATGCTTGGGGTACTGGTTGAAAAGCTACGAGTTCAATATGAATCCTTTGAAATATACTTTTGAGATCAAATCAAGCGAGTTTCATGGTTTTGTGCGTCGAGGAATTGAGATTGATCATGCGAAAATCAAGGCAATATAGGATATGCTGCCACCACCAAGGAACCTTTGAAAGTGAAAGTCTCTGGAAGGAAGACTTGTCTATATTAAGTGGATCAAATTAAATTTATCAGGAAGATGAAATTTTAGGCTGTGGAATAGAATATGCCTTTCATGTGGGACGATCTCTGTTAGATAGCTTTTCTGGAGATTAAGGATTATGTCTTGAAACCAACGACTGTTTATGACACCAATTTTAGGCAGGGCGTTAGAATTGTACGTGATCACTTTGGAAGGGCCACATGATGCGGTCATTGCATAACATGATGCCGAAGGCCTTGAGGTTGCTCTATATTCTCTATGTTGCACCATGAAGGCAGCTGAATAAAACTGTTTGGTGATCGAGAAAATGTCTCTCACTTTGGTATTTGCCGTTCAGAAGTTGAGACATTACCTATGGGACCATAGTCACCATGTGCTCTGGCTCCCGAATCTCTCTCCGGCGTTTCAGAGCCAGGATCTCGTTTGGAACCCCTTCCTATCTTTTTGGGTTCTTGCTTCAATTTTTAAGATTCTCGATCCTATTCACAATGGAGCTCGCTTCCGATACTTCAAGGATCTCGCTCCTGCTAAAGCACGGATCTTGATCCTATACACAACGGATTTCGCTCCCTCTACTTCATGGATCTCGCTCACATTGTCTCACGGAATGCGTTCCGTAATACTGTAGATGTAGTTCTTGAAAAAATTAGATCCCCGCTCCCAGAGTTTTAAGATCAAGATCCCGACATTCTCGAAAGAAAGATTGCACGTTGAGTTCTCGAGTGTGCCCATGCCCATGATCCATCAAGGTCTACCCTATCATACCATTGGCAATGGAAAATAGATTGCACATTGAGTTGTCCAGTGTGCCTGTGCCCATGATCCATCAGGGTCGAGCCTAACATACTAACCTTGAATTTTATTATTTCGAATTTTATATATCCTTGATGGACGTGGTTTCCATAAGGTTGCAACCTTAAACAATCCAATTAAGACGCACCACCAAATTTTATCGTGTTATGTAATTTTGGGGTAAAAAATTGTTAGAATTATCTGAAAATCTAATTTCATATCTAATTAAATACTTTTAAACTCCAAAAATGGTTAAAATCATCTAGATCTATAAACATATGAAAATTCTTAAAATGGACGATGTAGATAATATGTTGCAAGACGCACAATTTCTGGCACCCAATTTTTTTTGTTTTTTTTTCATACACTCATACATCTTGATGTCGAGATGATCAAGTAGAGACTTTTTCAACATTAAAACAACCTTTTTCGATGGATTTTTGGGGTGCATCCTTAGTTCTACATTTTATGGTTGCAACCTTATATAAACATTTTCCTATATCTTTGATTTTATAAAGTACTATATAATTCTCAAATGTGTTCCCAAATATATATATATATAATTACCTTTATTTCTATGACAATAATTTTTTTAAAATTTTGAATAAATTTATTTTACCATTTTATAACTTTCTAAAAGAAACTTTTTAAATAAAATTAACATTTAAATATAAAATTAATAATTTTAGTAAAATTTTCATATATTTATTTCTACCAAAAAAAAAACGGTGATGCATTTCCCAAATTTAAGCCTAACAATAACCATATATGCTTAGGTTGCATCTAGGATGCCTCAACTTGCATAGCCCACGCATAATGCCAACACGCTTATGTGGTCGGTACATATGGTTACATGGTGCACATGCCTATGGTCTTAATATAACCATCATGTGCACTTTGCAACATCATAGGCCAACCATTGCCAAGCCTTCACATATAAGGTGGAAACGATAATGCGAGCACAATCGAGAATTCGATTCCACACGGCTCAGATAGCAAAGTTGGAAAAATACGGTCCAATGACCGAAGCGAAAACAAAAAAAAAAAATCGGAAACCGGGCATCATACCTTAGTGCTCGCACAAAAATTTTGATAAAACGAATATGGAAATGAACGATCAACTCATGTAGGCACGTTCGACAACTACTAGAGCTGTCGAAATCTGTTCCACACCGCAAATTCCAAGCGAGGTGGAAGCTCACGAATACTCTCACAAAGTGCGATTGGAGCAGTACAAGCTCGACTCTCACGCACAACTCTTTATCTCTCAGGGCCGGATTTCTCTTTAGATCTCTAATGGGAGAGGGATTGTACTCTTTCTCTCTCTCTCACTCTCTGTCTCACTCTTTCTCTCTCTCTCAAGGGTAAGCTCTCACACTTTCTCGTGTGTGTTGTGTTGTTTGGAGACCTCTAACCCTCCCCCTTTTATAATGAGAGAAAGGGCCCTCTCATTCATTTGGGAATAACCTCCTCATGAATGGGCACTCTTATGGTGCATGGTGCATGGTGCATGCCATTCATGGGAGGGTGACCTCTTGATGAAGAGATACAACCTCTCCCCACCTCCCTTCATGTAGTACCGTAAGTCAACCATGAAGGGATGTGGTCCACGTGGGTGTACCCTCACACTAAGGATGCACCTCATGTCTACACTAATAAAAATAAAAAGTCTACCCACGTCTCTAAAAACAAAATTAATAAAACTAGAAAGAAAATTTGTAGCATTCTAATTTTGATCTGCATCACTCTATGATATCAGCCCACTGAGTGTTGCCCTTCGGGATAAAACAATAATGAGCCACAAGCCCAACCCATACGCTTTTGAGTGCTAAAGCAACATCATAGTATGTTTCAAGAACCCACCTGAAATTGAGAGGTTGGGGTATCCTCCTCCTCTCATCGTTCAATTGAAATCTGGTTCTTAAAAGGGCTAGTGAGCATATTCCAATACTAGTTGTGCAAGTGTTATGATGGATGGTAATGCAACAAAGTCAAAGGGATTCATTAAAGTGGAAGAGGCCCCTCGGCAGTTGGAGGATGGCGGTCAAGTCTCCATTGATGATTTGTTAGAAGTGGAACTCAGGAATGAAATTAATCCTAAACTCACTTTCTCCAGTGTCGATGCCAAGAAGAGGGACAAATATATTGAGTTCCTACAAGCTAACTGAAATGATTTTGCATGGAATCGTTATGAAATGCCTAGGTTAGATCTCAAAGTAGCTACCCACAAGCTTGGCGTCGACCTATCTATGAAGCCTGTTAAGCGGGTTCCTCAGAGAATTCAGATTGAGATAGCCCCTCAAATAGAAGTTAAGGTAAACAAGTTCATAAAAGCAAGGTTTATTAGAGAAATCCAATATCCCACATGTCTGGTGAACGTAGTGCTTAGATGAAGAGCAGCGTTTCTCACGACTAAAAAGATATATTGCTATTAGGTGATGTTATTCAAATTGAAGAATGCAACGGCTACATATCAACATGTAGTGCCAGTGATCTTGAAGGATATTTTGCCCGACATCATTGAAGTGTTTTCGTGATTGATGTGGTCACTAAATCTAATGACCATTCCACTCATATTAATGATTCTTGGGGTAGTATTTAAAAAGCTCTAAAAATATCAGCTCAAATCAAAATGAATCCTTTGAAATGTGCATTCGGGGTCACATCAAGTAAGTTCCTTGGTTTTTTCGTAAGGCATTATAGGATAGTGATTGATCCTACGAAAATCAAGGCAATAAAGGATATGTTGTTGGCCAAGAATCTCTGAGAGTTAAAGTTCTTGAAGGGCAGAATTGCCTATATTAGGAGCTTTATATGAAATTTATCATATGAAATTTATCATGAAGACGTAAACCACTTTTTAGGCTTATGAAAAAGGACGTAGCTTTCATATGTAATGTCGTCTGCCAGAGAGCTTTCTAGGAAATTAAGGATTATCTCCTCATCGCCAAACACATTGATGAAGGCATGGAGTTATCTAAGCCGCACCATGATGGAGGCATAATACAACTATTTGGCCACTGAGAAAATGTTTCAATTTGGTATTTTCCATTCATTAGTTGAGGCATTACTTATTGGCTCATCATAAACAACTCATTTCACCGGTAGATCCTATAAAATACTTGGTGATACGATCAACTTTTTCAAGGTGTTCTGCCAAGTGGGCACTGATTCTTATGAAATTTGATATCACCTATGTCCCATAGAAGGCTTTTACAGGATAGGCTCTCACGGACTTCTTAGTCTCCCATCCTTTGCCATAGCGGTCTCTACTAAATAAAAATATTCCAAATGAGGAAGTCATGTGCATTAAGGAGGAGCGAAATTGGCAATTATTCTTTAACGGCACATCTTAAGAAAAGGGATCTAGAGCTGGATTTTAGTTCATATCTCCTGATAAAGGTCTCCTCCCATATTCATTCCATCTGGAAAAGAAATGCTCTAACAACGGGGCCCAGTTTCAAGCCTTTTTGTGACGACTCTTTCATGGTCATCTCTTGTAAATATATTTAGGGTTATGCGTCAAAATGCACCTAAACTATTAACTATTTAACATTTCATCCTCATGTTATGAGTTAATTTCAAATTACGCATGATTTTGAGTGGCAATAGGAAAGAAAGGGGTAAGATATTAAATAGCAGAAAAGTGATGGGTACTTCCATAAAATTTTCATACATGTATAAGGAATTGTGCTTATTATATTAACTTTGACAAACAGATAGTGCTGAATTACATGAAGAGAATAAGTACATATTTATTTTGGTTATTCCAGATAAACTAGAGAGTAACTTTATTTGTTAACGACTCATTGTCGCTAATGTCTTCCTATTACATCAATTCAACAAATCGAATGCCCCACATATTAGTTGTGGCCGTGCTTAGAATTCAAATAATCCAATCTTCAGCTATGAGTGAGGCAACAACAAGAGAGTCTCACTTGTTGGAGAGGGAGTGAGGACATCTTTGCAGTCGAGTTCTCCTCTCACTGGACAATAACTTCGCGAACCTACACAAATTTATCATAACTTAGTTCAAAACTTATAAATCTAACAAATCACAGGCTCACTTTCTATTTCCTAGCCATAGGTTTCTGTTTTCTAGTAAAGTGAAATTTATCAAAAGATTTAATTTTTTAACTATTAAGTAGTTTATCCTTTTCAGCTATTACAACTCATAGCCATATGTAGAGTGACAGTAATTTCAAATTAAATCGCAAGGTATGGATAAAACGTTTTATAATTGATATATAAATTTTTCCAAATCTCAGACAAACTTTCTATTTTTTTTATATAGAATTTTGTTCCCTAATAAATGAGCTTCATTAACTAAGGCAAGATATACTATTAAAAATTAAAAATCATTTTATGAAACTTATTAGTGGATATTTAAGATAGAAAATAGATTTATGCACCTGACTAAAGCTTGCTCATTGGTGCCCTCATTTGGCACTGGCTCAAATTTCCCCGTCTCCAAGTTCACCCTCGAAACTGGCTTTTGCAAGAGCCCTTCACCCACCTTCACAAGTTCCTTCAAGTTTTTGTCCGTTGCAATGTCTGTGGACGATGTGTCTCCCATTAATGTGTCATCCTATCAACCATAACATTAGAATTCAGAGACTTCACAAATGGCAATATTGCCATACAAGACCTTGACCCCTCTATTTAACCCAATAGTAACAAAGGAAAATTACAGTTACACCCCCCAATACCTACCCCCAAATATTTTTTGAACCTAATACTATTTATTCTTTTATCCAAACCCTATCTAAGCAAATAGACTTTTTAGGACAAAATATCCTAACATATTTAAGAGAGTTTTCACTTTAAAAAAATTAAATTTTAAATTTTAGAGAGAGAAACTATCTTAAATTTTTTGGAGAGAGAAACTATATCAAAGTTTATGTTGTTGGAGAGAGAAACCATATCAAATATTTTTAGAGACAGAAAACATCTCGAATTTTAAGGTTTAGCGGGAGAAACTTTCTCAAAAATTTTTTAATAGAAAACCTTTGTCAAATGTAAACTATTTAGAGAGAGAAACTCCATAAAAGTTTCACCTGAGGTCTTTATCTACTAGAAAACTAGTTTTTCTTGACCGTTAGGAAGTCTATACAAAATTTAATAATATTGTGAATTAATGGTGTGGTTTATAAAGTATAGAGGTTAGGGGTGCCTATAAAGTACCGTAGAGGGCGTATACCTATAATGCACCAACATATAATTGCCCCTTTTTGCTGGCCATGCATGCCTATACGATATACATTCATATAACAAACTTATAACAGGCACATATGCGAACACAGGCCTCATGCATGAGTAAATATCTCTTGAATTGAAGAGTGAGAGAGAGATGTTGAATTGAGCACAGAGAGAGATGATACCTGAATACGTAGATAATTGCGTTGAGAATGAAGAGCTTGAAACACAACAGAGATGTGGATGTCGGCCATATCTGCACTTGCTTGTTGAAATGTGTCGATAAGGGGAGTGCCCCCATTGTTGTATAACCAACCTAAAACACCCCATTTGGCTGCGTCTTTTGCACTATAATTATCAGTAGATTTTGCAGAACCAGTGCCTACAGAGATGACGAGGAATCGACCATAATCCATGGGTTTCATGGGGGAAAAATCGGTGTTCTCCTTTAGTACCTCTCTTGTTATCTCACCCATAGCCACAAGTGCCTGAAAAATGACGTTAAATACCCATGTTAGATCTTCCATTCATTAGAAGAACATTCTTGATCTATTTTCACATCTGAAACTTTGTTGGACAACTATTTCTACTTTCTAGATGTCACGTTCTATAAACTTGTTGAAAATAAGAATGAAAATTTTGGACTTGATAGACCTTTTATGATTTTTTGTCCTCTTTGATGGTATTTCTTAGGTAACCGAAATTGTAAAATTCAATTCAGCATTTTTTTTTTCTTTTTTTTAAAAAACAATTTAAGGTGAAAACATCAAATTTTAAAAATCTAATAGCTTACTGGATTATTAGCGGCAATCCCTCCATCGATTAAATGGAAGCTTTTAATCTTCCCATCATTCCCTTCATTCTCAAAATAATGAGCAGGAAGGTATGTCGGAGCGGCCGATGTGCTAATACAAATGTCGGATAACAACGCGTCCTTGGATTTATCAGCTTTCATCTGAGGAAAGATAAGCACCATGTTCATCGGTATTGAAAGAGAGTGTTGCGGGAGAGGGCGAATGTTGGGAGAGAAAGTGATTTCACCTGGTAGGAAGAAAAGATGGTGGGCTGCAATAATCGGATATCAAATGTAGGAATAACAACTTTGGTGAGAGTTTGATGAAGCCTCTTATCACCCAACTGCTTCCTCACGAGCTTGTGAAGGTACTTTCCATCGTATTTGGGGCCCGTTACTGCACTCACAAACTTGCGGACAGATCCAAGAAGCCCGCTGTATTACAAGAGAGGGAATAACTCATTAATTCATTATACAACGAACGCAAATAATCACCTCATGTATTTTGGGAAGGAATTAGAAAGTGATCTTTTTTTATCATTAATTAATTTACCTTGTTTGGGAGAAAATTTTGGGGCAATGATCAAGGTAAAAGGAGGTGATGTCTTTGGCAGCATAGAGAGGGCGGTTGTTATCTCCTGGTGCGGTGATCATGGCAGTAACAAGACCTCCTGTGCTCGTCCCAGCCATCACATCGAAATAATCGACAAGTCTCACTTCTTCACCATCTAGATTCTATTTGTTTCAACATGAAAAGCCATATATTATTAGCGTTGTTTTGTAAAATTTATTTGTGGGTCACTTATTTTCACCCGCCCACCAACTCACCCTCTCTATCAATGTTCGAAACTATGACTTTGAGACTGGACTCATAGCAAAGCCAAAAAGTGAAAAAATAAAAACAGTACAAAACAAATCCTAGAAAATAGGAAACATATGTTGAAAGAAAAATTAAATGAAATTCAAAATAGTGAAAAATAGATTTTGAAAAAATCAATTTCTGAGGGGGTATTTTAGAAATAATTCAGAAAAGAATGGAAAAGGTAAAAATAAATATTCATGACCGAATGGCTTTCTAATCTTTTTCAAAATGACAATAAAACATATTAGAAATAAATTTCTAATATTTTTGGATTTTTAATGAAATTTTTTTATTTTTTTAAGATCCCTTAGTTGGACCACCCTACTCGGGCTCCCCATGGCAGTGCATCGGAGTTACTCAGGCGACCCAATTAAGTAATCAGACACTGCTCTTTCTCTCCGTCTCTCCATCTGAATTCGTAATCGCACAAACAAACTGCAAACCCCATTTTCTCTCTCTCTCTCTCTCTGAATGAGTAGGTACCATGTGAAGGCCTCCTAATTCTAAGCATCAAAACGATTACAAGTTCCTGGAGTAGAAAAGAGAGAGAGGGCATACTTGAAGTTCAGACTCAAGAAAGCTAAGGATGGTAGCAGGAATAATTCCTCTGATTCCACCACCATCAATGCTCAGAATCGTTATCAAATCCCCAAAAGAGGGGGGCTGGTTCTCGATCGACGATCTCCCTTCCATCTCTTCCTCAAAAAGGTCGAATCCTTTCTGGGATGATAGCAATCAAAAAATAGGTATCAATTATAATAAGTTATGCGAAAGGGCGAAAATAAAGTTTGGGTAAGTGGGTTTGAGAGAGAGAGAGAGGTTCTTCAACTTCTTTTAAGAGGGAGGCTAGTCTTGGGTTTGCATGCAGTGCAGAGTGGGGCAAATGGTTATATAGGCAAGAAGCATGGGCCCAAAAGCCCGAGGCTGAGAATGAATGGTCAAAGAAAAAGACATTGGAAAATTCCTGCTCAACTAACTCGCTCCATGACTTACGAAAAACCCAAATATTCTCTTGCAGGGCCATGTAAAATTTGAGAACCATGTGTTTCTTGCAAAACTTCAACTAGTCCAAAAGTATCTTTCCGGCTACTTTCAGAGGCCCCACATAAATTGCGAAGAATATTTTTTCCTAGCACGTTCCGAATGCTGGGATTGAGTCGGGCCGGGTTTGGGTCTGCCTTACCCGATTAGGTCTATGTTAGAACTACAACCGGCCGCAACCCGGCTCGGGTCCCAGCCAATCTGATTAATTGGCTCTCGAGCTATAGTCAGGGTTATAAATAAAGGGTTCGGTTGGGGTTGGGATGACCTTGGCCCAGTCCTAGCCCAAGCCGATTGGGTTCATATTGGTCCCATACTGGTTCGGTCCAAGTCAAGTGGACACAGATCCGATCCATCGGGTCCATTGTCTTGGTTTAAACCCAAATCCGTTAGTGTCAATCCGTTCGGTTGTCGATCCAACCAAATTCCCACACCTACGCCAAAGCAAGATAGATATACGCATATGCATGATCTAAGAGGTTCTAACCAGTGTTTGGTTAATCGGACGAGCCTGTTTGGATTTGCCTATGTAATCCTTAAGTTGGGTGTCCATCTAAGGGATCTTAAAATTACAAATAATAATAATAATAATAATAATAAATAAATAAGAAGATAAAAAATTTATTAGTGATATATTTTTTATCATTTTGACAAAGATTGGAAAGCGTTTGGCTTATCATTATATTTTTCCCATCTTTTGAATTTGTTTTAAAATAGCCGTGGTCACAAAATGATTTTTTTTAAAATCCCATTTTTCAATAGTTTTTTAACATCATTTGGATGCGTTTTCTTTAATTTTTACTTCAAAGAATTTGTTCTTTTGTTTTTTTAGTGTTTCTATTAAATTTTTAACATTGTTTTGCCTTGGCCACTGCGAGTTACTTGGATTCCGGTCGCGGCCGAGCATCTTACCCGTGTCGCTTTTTCCAGCACTAGTTCTAACTTCCAATATAAAGTAAATCATAAAGTATAAATTTCGTCCATGCTAAAGTTTTATTTATTTATTATTATTTTACAAAATTGTATATTATGATACCATTTATTTATTTATATAAGGAACTCACCATCACATTTTGCCATTAGATGCGAAATTCAGTAGATGAAAGTATTTGACAACATTTAAAAAATTTTGTTTTAAACGTTTTACCTAAATAATAATACATCCTCAATTATTCGATTTTAAATAAAAAAGTCCACAATAATTGTGAACTCCTTGTATCAAAAAAAATATCTCATGTTATACATTTTCTTTTTTATTGCTCGTGGCGTTTGAGATTTTCTTAATAGCTTGACACCAGGTCAGGGTTCAAAAGGTTCTCCAAGCCATGTTCCTACGTTCGTATTTTTCGAATGCATGACGGGACCTTTGACACACAAAACCACGGCGAATTTGAAGTTTTTAACTGTTAAACGGATTCCGTCACTAGCTTCAATGAATACTTTAATCCGTTATTTAATGAAATGGTACGCTATTTATTTCTTCTTCAAGAATCACGATTGCGAGTCAATTGTCGTGCTCAGGAGACAAAAAGATCAAAAGCGAGCCAAATTTAATAAAAGAAAAGCATTTTGTGACTCACACTTCCAATTTGGGGTAAAAGGAGAATAATAAAATGGAAAAATGACATTTACCCCCTCCTCAAAACTTCCTTCCAATGGTTTAAAAAACAGATCGGTGACTCGGATCGGGCATCCAAAAAACTGATTCGGATCGACGAATCGGCGATCCGGATCAAAAATCGGGTGAATCGGTCAGAATAAAGCTTAAAAAAATTCCGAAAAAATTATTAAATTCATTATAAATATTGTTTTTTAATAATTCAATAAGAAATGAGGGTATTCCATTAAGAATTTTATGTTTTTGAATGAATATGCGAATATTGATATGTTCTTTCCCTGCATGAACCGCCATTCAGCATTTAATTTACATCACACAAAAGGATAAACATAGAATTATCATGGAATAAGTATATCAACATACATGGACTACAATAAAGCATAAAATTAGTAACATATGATCTAAAAATAAAATGATAGACGACGTTATTGTTCTTCTTGGTCACGCTGGTGCCATTGATTGAATTCGTTTAACAATTCATTGATTCGATCTAAAAACGAATCATCGATATTAGCAGGCGTCTGACTATTACCAAATCCCTGAGTGTTAGTGTTTTGTTGTGTTTCCAATCCAAAATCCTCGAAGCCTGTCCATCCTTCATGCTCACCTGCACTGTCGTGCTCATCCCTACACTGTTGCTGTTAGAACTCGATATGTGAATAAAATGGCTGGCATAGGGTGGCCTCAGAATCATCATCTCTCTCATTTTCTCTTTGAATAATATGGATTAAAAAAAAAAATTAACAAATTTTCAAAAAAATATATCATGGATTAAAAAAAAAAAATCACAAATTTTCAAAAAATTCTGTCATGGATTACAAAAACAAATTCGATCTTGGATTAAAAAAAAAAATCACAAATTTTCAAAAAATTCAATCATGGATTACAAAAAATTCGATCATGGATTACAAAAAATTCGATCATGGATTACAAAAAATTCGATCATGGATTACATAAAATT